GAGAGAGAGAGAGAGAGAGAGAGAGAGAGAGAAGTAGGTAGAAGTAAAGAAGACTTGAGGCCTATATATACAAAAAGGGTTGGATGTATAACAGTAGTTTTTTGGAGAGAAGATTTCAAGAAATTTATTGACAGGAGAAGATAGATATATACATATTATACATGACAGAGGATGTGAAAGAAGAGTGAGAGGTACACAGTAAGAGGAATATTAAGAGGAAGGATTAGAAGATGAAATAGATGGATATATATATATAGATTTTTGAATTGATGTGTCACCCCATTCTGAGACGGTTAAATGTTTGCTCTAGTGTAGGATATATAATGTTGTCGTACCAAAAAAAAAAAAAAAAGATGCTTATGTAATTAATAGATAAAGAATATCTCAAAATATTTTCTCAGATCCGCTCATTCCAAAAGAAAGATGCTCCCATAAGGATGACAAAATTATGGTCAATGATGTAAATGGACTGGAACGATAGTCTAGCAATACTAAGATTATTTGTTTATTCTGATCATGGTTATGCTCACTACAAAGGAAACAGGGACTTTTTTTGTTTTTTTGGTGGGGGTGGGGTGGGGGGGGTGTGGGGGTGCTACTTAATGTTTTATTTTTTTAAGTTATTAGAGATTTACTGCAAAACTCTAAAAGTTATTGGAGGTTTAGTATAGTTTACCCTAAAAATAGTAGAGGCAACTCAATGTGGACTCAAAAAGACAGAACAGGTACGTTTCATGACTTATATTTAAATATTGGAGGTCTTTGGTATGAGAGAGTCTTAATTATATTCTTAGTAAACAAAACATTGATGTATTGATATTAATTAGCGTGTGATCGTGAGGTAACGACTTATTTATATGAGTTGAAGAGTCAATAGATTATAAATGAGGCTAAGTATTTCATTACTAACTTAATCAATGATATTATGCCGGCCTTACATATTACATCTACATTTTAAATGAAGGTAATAACAGAATATTCTGAAATGAGCTTTTAGAGATGCATACGTAGTTCTTCATTATCTAATTATATGATTGGATTGGACTAGATCAAGCCAAGAAACTACAAATGGAGACAAATTTTTTTTTTCAAATTAAGTGAGAATATGAAACCAAAAGTTTCCATACACAGAGAGAACCATATCTCATCATGTGGTGAAGGCTTGACTCTCAAAGTAAAGACCAAAAGCAATCTTTTCCTACCTTAATTTTCTATGTTCACCCCCTTGCAATTATCCCGTGCGCATGAAAACTACTCTGCCGTCAAATAACTTATTTTTTTTATTCCGTCAAATAACTTATTTTTATTTTATTCTTCCATTATCAATATATAAGTATTTTGACTGTGCTGGCACGGATGAGTCATACATGGTGAACGTCTCAGAAACCCAAAGTTTAGGAATATTATAGATAACTCCACTCTAGTTTAAAAATTAGAGAAACTCCCTCAACTATGGAGTGTCTCACAAAGTTTCCCTAATTTTTCACACTTTTTTCACCAAACCATCATGACGTCGTTTCAAAATGTAAAATAACTGAAATGCCCTTTTAAAAATCAACCATTCAGTTACGAAGAAATCACCAGCTAGTAAAAAAGATCTTGATTAATTTTCTATTTATAGGCCTCTAAGGCTAGCTTAAGAGTCATCCTCGATTAATGTGGCTGTTACAAATCATAATGGCAATTATGATTGTAACAACAATCCATTAAATTGATGTAAATGTTGTCGTAACTACTGCATGCATTAACTCTTAAATACGAGGCGATCAATAGAAGCGTTGCTACGAAACGCAAGGGACACGTCTCAGCAAATCAGACAAACATCGTCTGTAGGACGAACCTCGTCGAACGGGCGAACCTCGTCAAACAGTCAAACCTCGTCGAACGAGCGAACCTCGTCAAACTGAGGGGCATCGTCTGATCTCGAGAACGCAAAGTCATATCCTCGTGCGAATGCTGAGCTCGTCCGCATGCTGTGAGGCAGCTTGCGAGGCAGCCAATGTGGTGCCACCTAGCCCCGATGCTTCCGTGGAAAGTGCGCCTAACAAAGTGCCACTTAGCTCTTCAGCCTGATTAGCCCCGACCCACGACCCACGACCCACGAGCTTACTAGAACTTATGATTGATTAATTAAAATAAAACACTTCTCGGCTTGCCATTGGCAAGCCTCGAATAGAGCACCTTTTGAAACAGCAAAACTTTAACTTTCCACTAAGCTACTAAGCATTTATGAAAAATACTTATAGTTAATTTATATATAGTTTGAAAACTCGTTTTGGAAAGCGGTTTTGACCAAAAAAATCCAACAAGTTTTTAGGGAAAAGATGAAGGATTAGACAAGTAATTGATTCTGTCTTGTGATAGAAATGTTGATTTCATAATGCAGTTTTGTACTTTAGAAATCTAAACAAAGGTTTGCACTTAGGTAGCCGTCTAGAAAAGCCAAACTTCAGAAAAAGACCGCACTTCAGCATTTAAATTTGTCGTAAACCAATACTTTTACAGGCAAACTTTGAAAAGCCAAACTTCATTCCAAGATCAACGCGTAGATGATGGTTTTTTGCTAAATTTTTTAGATGTAGGGATTTTTGAAAACAGGATATAAAAGAAGGCAATTTCTAGTACTTTGCCCAAAAGAAAAAAGCACATACCAATTCATGACTTTATGGGAGGCACTAGGGGCACACCCTCTACCACACTCCCAATCACACCACCTCTCTTGCTACAGTGTACGAGACCCACATGAGATTTTAAAATTAAAATCTCATGTGGGCCCCGTGCACTGTAGCAAGAGAGGTGGTGTGGTTGGGAGTGTGGTAGAGGGTGTGTCCCTATCATTATTTTAACTTTATTGCCTCAAATAAATGGATACATAGTAGATAGCCAGTTACCAGATTAGTATATTTTATTGACCTTTAGTGACACATTGATATATTTTCTTACTCCGACAACAATTTGGTATATTACGTAGACTATGACGACAAATTAATCTATATTTTAGCCGGAGCCAAAATTCCGGCTAAGTTGAGTCACATGATCCTCACATGCGGCCCACATGGCTGCCAACATGACGATAATTGTGATCAATTAACTTGCTAAAAGAGGTTTTTCTAACATTAGGGTTCAAATTGGGAATTTTTGGTTCTTCTCCATCCTCGCACTAAATTGGCTAGTGCAACTGAAATTGGAGTTAGATTCTGTGTCCTCAAGCTCTTGGTCAAGGTCAGGTTTAAGTATGAGCACAAAAAAAGCAAATTTATGGCTAAATGGGATGAAAAGCCCTAATTTACACAAATCAACCACATTATAGCCAAATCAAGATTTTGAACCCATGAAATTACATTATGCACAAGGGGAATTTCTGCAGTTTTTGGAAGATTCATCCCGTCCCTCGCATGAATAGAGAAAAAGAGGGGA